TAGCCAGAGGATTGCTATAAACTGACCCACATTCTAAATTCTAACCAGCATGATTTTTTTCATACTCACCCGAGGATATGCTTATTGATTTTAGAGAGAGGAAGAGAGAGAAAAAATCCAAGAGAGAAACATCAATAGTTGTCTTCTATACACAACCTGACTGGGAATTGAACCTGCAAACTTTTGGTGCTCAGGCTCTGATGTCAGCCTCCCTGGGTCCAAATTCTGGCTTTACTACCTACTACCTGTGGGACCTTGGACCTTTAAAGCATTGCTAATTCATCTGTCAATCTAATCGCCATTTTTTTGAAGGTCATCAGTCTTTTTTCTCTAACTGTGGTTAACATTTTCTTTTCTTTTTTTTCCAATTCCTTTATTATATGATTAGAGGCCTGGTGCATGAAATTCATGCACGGGGGCGGAGGGGGCGGGGGGAAGAGGCCCTCACCCAGCCTGAACCCTCTCCAATCTGGTACACCTCAGGAGATGTCCGACTGCAGGTTTAGGTCTGATCCCGCAGGCCTGATCACCCCTAACTGCCTCTGCCTGATGGCCTGATCACCCCTAACTGCTCCCTGCCGCCAGCCTGATTGCTCCCTAACTGCCCCCCCCCCCGTCTAATCACCCAATAGCCCCCCTGCTGACCTGATCACCCCCTAACTACCCTCCCCCCACCAGCCTGATCGCTCTTAACTACCCTCCCCCGCTGGCCTGATTGCCCCTAACCGCCTCTGCCTCAGACCCTGCCACTGTGGCTTTGTTCAGAAGGATGTCCGGAAAATATCTGGTCTAATTAGCATATTACCCTTTTATTAGTATAGATACTAGCCATATAATTTTATTTCTTTGGTTTGGAGCATATTGGACTTTCCAATCTGTGGATTGATGACGTTCATGAATTTGGAAAATTGAGCTATCCTCTTCTTCTGGAAGTCCAGTTAACCTATGTTGGAATTCTTTTGTATCCTCATTGTACTTTCATCTTCCTTTCATAAATTTTCTTAAATCTCAAAGATTCCTTCTTAATTACTTCAGTCTTCTAACTCATTAATTCTTTTCTCAGCTGCTTAATCTACTGTTAACCCCATTAATTTCTATTTGTAGAAGTTTGTTTTTTTCTTCCAAATATAGTTGGACTTTTAATTGCCTCCTGCCTTTATTTATATCTTCAATCCCTTCCTTTGTTTCTTTAAATGATATACCTTTTATATTCTACTAGAGGCCTGAAGCACGAAATTCATGCAAGGGGCTCAGCCCTCACAGCCCTGGCTTCGTCCAGAAGGTCATTCAGTTGTCCAGTATCATTAGCACATTACGCTTTTATTATAGATCCCTAGTAATTCCAATACCCGAAGCCTTTTCTGGTGTGCTTCTTCTGTCTCTTGTCTCAACCGGCTATCACTTATGGTGCTTTTCTTCTCCATGGGTTTGTCATTTTTCTGAATATAAGCTTTATTTCTTGGAACTTCTGCTGTGGGAATTCTTTGAGGACTAGGTGGAAGGTGGATTCCTATAGGTAAGACTGGCATTTGTTGATGTTTGCTTGGAATCCCTTTATATTAAATGATCAATTTGCAATGTTTTGAACCATCCATATTATATGAATTTGGGCTTCAGCCTATATGTGGATTAGCTTGTGATTATTAATTATCTGGAGATATTTTTGTTTCCCCTGTTAATCCTTAAACAATTCAAGTAATACAATTCCTTTTTAGTTTGAAGATGGTAGTAGAGTTGTTCTTACACACACACACACACACACACACACACACACACACACACACCCTTACCTTTTATAATGAAGGTCTAGTTCTTTGGAGTTCCTAATTAATTAGGGAGGGAAGGGGAAGAACCTAGTATTACACTTCTAACTTGGGAGAGTCCTCACTTTGTCTTTTATTCTCTTCAATGTACCCAAAGCCATGAAAACCTAAGTTCAGATTGCTGTGCAGCAAATGCTCTCAAGGCAAAAGTCAACTTCAAGACTCCTTTAACTGGATCCCACTGAGGATTAATGAAAACATATATGCATACCTTTGTTCAGAACAATTACTGAACACTAGGAGAACTATACTAGATACTGTGGGGAAAATATAGAAGCACAGACCTGGGGGAAAGTGGGAGACCACTAAAAGATATTAAATAAGGGAGTAACATGGTAACACTGCTGTAGACTAGAGTAGAGGAAGAAAGGTGGCAAGAAGGATGCTGCTGTGGCAAAAGGAAGATAAAAATGGTGAATATCTTTAACAAGGCAATGGAGCTGGGGAAGGAGAAAGGAGACAACCAGAAGGTAGAATAAATAGACATAGTGACTGATGGACATAGGGGATCAGGGAGGAAGAAAAGTCTAGTCTAGTTTACCAGGTAGATACTGTCACCATAAGCATAACAGGTTTTGGAGACTAAGTAGGGAGGAGATGATGACTTTGGTTTGTGACTCTGTTGAGTTTGAGATATAAGATATCTAAGTGGGGATATCCAGTAGTCAATTGGATGCAAGTTCTGGGACTCTCAAAAGAAGTAGGATTAGATATAAATATTTGGGATTAATCACACTATAGTTAGGTGGATTCTGATTGTATAGGAGACTGAAGACAGAACTCTGGAAAATTCTAATACTGAAGACCTGGCTAGAGAATCAGAAAGATACCATGAACAAGTGGGCACAGAGACAGGAAGCAAAGGCAAGAAAAAAGCATACAGTATCAACGCCATCAAGAGAAGGAAGTTTCTGGAAGAGAAAGAAGTCAGTGGTGTCTCATGCCACAGAGAAGTTAAGATAAGAATGAAAGTCTGCCTGACTGGTTTGGCTCAGTGGATAGAGCATCGGCCTGTGGACGAAAGGGTCCCAGGTTTGATTCCGGTCAAGGGCATGTGCCTTGGTTGCGGGCACATCCCCAGTGGGGGGTGTGCAGGAGGCAGCTGATCGATGTTTCTCTCTCATCGATGTTTCTAACTCTCTATCCCTCTCCCTTCCTCTCTGTAAAAAAATCAATAAAATATGTTAAAAAAAAAAAAAAAGAATGAAAGTTTACTCCTTGGGCTTATCTCACCATAAATTGCCTAACAAATTAATAACTTAAGTTTCTGGCATGTATTTATTGCTATAACCAGATAACCATACTATTTTATTTGTTGTGGGCTTTTTTTTTTAATTAAAATAGTCCCATAAGCAAATCTATAATTATTTCAAAATAAAAGTTTTTTTAAAAGTCTCATAATACAATGCTTTTATTTTCTTATTTCTTTTCTTTTTTTTTTTTTTTTTTTTTTTTTACCATGGCTGTATCATAATATGGTGTGTTTAATAAGATCTGAAAATTTTTACATTTTTCCAGTAAGCCTCAAATGACCTAACTAGTTCAGGGGTCAGAAACTTAAATAATCTCAGGGTTCACGCAAGTAAAATGAATGGGTGAAAGAAATCCGAGTAGGAAAGACAGAAACAAAACCTGGAGAACACATGTCCTTTTTAAAAAGAGCAGCCACAGCCAATTCCTACTACTTGGACATAATGGGCTAGTCTTAACAGGTCACCTGAATTTTAAGAAAAGGCAGAAATCTGAATTTTTAAATATGAAGTCTTCCAATTGAAAAAGTAACAAATTGATTTAAATGTTTTTTAAAACGTTTTGCGAACTTAACATTTCAATAGGTCCAGGTGGCTCATGGACTGATCAGTATTTTACCTTTGCCTTATAGTATGCATATAGCATTTTAATCTTATACCTTGAGGGAGATTTAAATGGTTAGTAATACTCATATGCAGTAAGAGAGCCAAATCTACAATCTATTTCTTAATTTTAAAACTAGTACTTCCTTTGCTGTAATTCTGTAACTTCTTTATCTAACAAAGGAAATACACACCCAGGTTAGACATGCAAGTTAATAATCACAATATGCTATAGTAAATTCAGGAAAGATGGCATAAGCTTCACATTTAATTAATCCAGATGCTCTGGCTCTTCTGAAATGTTTTTAGGTAGAAGCTCCAGAAAATAAATTACTGGTGACTAATCAATTGTTTATGCCTCACAAATTCTGCATTAAATGTGTAGGACAAAATTATAACTTAGCTAAGTATCTACATAAAGTTTTTAAAAAGTACACCGTGTAGACATTTTTAATTTCTGGAGATAAGTTTAATTATTGCAGGGCTAACAGAAAATTTGGCTTCAATTCTGAGGCCTTATTTAGTTGTAATATAGACTATGTGTACCCATTCATTCAACATATACTGTGTATTTACAATTTCCTGTTACGTAATTATAGATTGCAAGCTAAGAGAAGGGTGAGGATATACATTTAAATTATTTCAATGAATGGATCGTGGAGGTATTGCAGGAGAAATAAACTAGTGTAGCTTTTATCTTGGCCCTCTGAAGGAGGTATTATCACAATGATTTCTGCCAGAACCAGGTTAAGTCCACCACAGAGCCAGAGGGCACGTGTTCTGACTTTAAGTCCGCAGCTGAGATTCTATGAACGGAAAAGGAATCGTTCTTCTGTATTTCTCCTCTAAGTTAATATACTCCTTTGTAAAGCAACTTTTCCCTGTAGTCATAACAAAACAAACGTTATGTCCTCATAGCCCTTAGTTAAGCCACCTCAACTCAATTACAACCTGTCGTTGTTTTATTTTCCACTGGGGAGTTGCAAACTAATTTGAACTTAAAAGACATCGCCTGCGCAAGGAGAAGCAAATGTCGCCGGTTAGGAGCAGCTGAATCAGTTCGGCACCTTGGTCGTCTGAATCCAGCCGCACAAAATCGAACCCAGATCCAAGCCCACCAGCCTAGACCACGCAGTCTGTCATACGGTGCCGGGCCCGGCTCTCACTTTTGCCTGGGCACGGGCGCAGGGGCTCGAAAACGAGACGGGGCCCGCGTTTTCGGAGTGAAAGATTATTTACAGCCACGGCCCAAAGAAGCCAAAGCCAACAACGGGCCGGTGCAGCGCGGTGCCACCGCCATGCAAGCAGGTCTCACACCGCTCACCTTCACAGTCGGCCCCCGGGCGCCCCCCGGCCTCCTGGCCCAGCGCCGGCGCCGGGTTAGAGACCCAGAGCCCGGCGCAAAAGGCCAGCCAGACGGCTGGGCTCGCGCACCACATGCCGAGCCTGCAGCTCCAGACGCCCAGGCCAGCAGCACGGACCGCGGGCCGCGACGCAGGCGTGAGGCTGCGCCGGAAGCTGGGGAGCGCAGCGAGCCCGGAGTTGCTGGGACTAATGACGCAACTCACTCAACCCACACTTGCCCAAGTTGCCATTGGCTCTCAGCGAAGGGGCAAAACACCCGGCGCGAAAGAGCCCTTTCCGTTTTATAGAAAAAACCCTGATTTGCGCGTGCGCACTACAGCACACGCCGTGCGGCTTCTGCGGGGCAGGTAGAGACGCAGGAAAGCTATTCGTCGACTGCCGTGCAAGAGGCGGGACCTTCACGCTGATTGGCGACAACGCGAGAGGCCGCGGCGTTCGGACCGACGCAGTGGGCGGGCAGGAACGTGGAGTCTCCGCGGTGCCTGATGGGGCTGTCGGGAGCCGGAGACCTGTAGTCGGCGGCGGACCGCTCTGCTGCTGCCGCCTTCTCTGCCGCCTCATGGCGGCCATCGGAGTTCACCTGGGCTGCACTTCAGCCTGCGTGGCCGTCTATAAGGTGAGGGAGTGGGGGGCTGGGCTGCGGGCCCGGTGTCAGCCACCCGTCGTCCGAGTGCGTGTCCAGGTCTCCGGTCACCTACGGCGTGGAACTGCGTATCGCTGGCCGAGGAACGGCGCGCGGCGAGGCTTTACTGCGGGGAAGTTTCCAAGCAAAGGGCCGGCCTCTTCGCCGGCGGCTCCGGAAAGCCAGCCGCGGCCTGGAGGGAGGGGCGTGACGACGCCGGCGCGCGGGGGCCGGGGGCCGGGAGGGTCTCTGGGATGGAGCGGCCCCAGGAGGCCCGGAGCTTTGGGGACCTTTGCCGGGAAAGGGCGGGGTGGCGGTGATCTGCGGTGATCTGTGGTTGATCCTGCGCGGCGTGCGGAGCGAGTTGGTGGTGCGCGGTCTACTGGTTTGGCCTTTCTGGGAAGAAGAGCGTGGCAAGCGGTGGTGGCCTTCCTCGTCGGGGGAGGCGGAAGGAACAGTAATACTCGACTCCCCTGACGCTAGTTTAAATGTCAGATGACTTGTCAGGGAAAGCCAAAGGGTTAGTGCCTCTTCATCACATGTAGAAAAGTGGAGAAAGAGGTATTTGTAGGGGAAGGAAGAGGAGGAGAAAGGGTGGTGAAATAACACTTATTACTGGATATAGACAGGTAGTTATGTTTGTTTCCATTATTGACTGTGCAGAGAAGACGGGGCGGGGGGGGGGGGGTTGAAGCAGTTCTTTATGGAATGTTGGCCTTTCATAAAATCTAGGAAATTAATAGTTGCAGTTAAGTCTACAAGTTTAAAATATTGCTAGATCAATATTTCTTTCCACATAGATGGCAAAGTAACACTGGCCCACATATGTCTGAATATGTCCTATGAGTCTATATATTTAATTCAAAGTAACATATATTTTTCTCCAGGATGGCCGGGCTGATGTGGTTGCAAATGATGCGGGTGACAGAGTTACTCCAGCTGTTGTTGCCTACTCAGAAAATGAAGAGGTACTATTCCCCCTCACATTTTTGCTTTGAAATAAGTGAAAATTACATGCATTGTAATATATTGCTCTTTTTCAGGTTGTTGGATTGGCAGCAAAACAAAGTAGAATAAGAAATATTTCCAATACAGTCATGAAAGTAAAGCAGATCCTTGGCAGAAGGTATGGAATAAAATATCACTTCAACATATAGGTAATAAAAATGTGTGTATACATTCTAAGCGTAATGTGGAATGAAACTAGAAACACCATTTGTTTCTTCTGGGGTTTGTTTTTTTTTCCAGTTTTTTCTGACTGAGTTATTTCAGAGAGTACTTCAGTAGCCAGTTTCTTTTGATGATTAGTGTCAAATCTTCTCAAAGATGAGTTTCACTCAGATGTTTATTTCTTGCTGACAGGTCTGTTTGTATTGATAAATACCAACATTCCTTTCATTTTGATAGTTTGTGTCATTCAGAGGTGGTAATTTGGATTTTTTATATTTCAATATTTTTTTAACTGAGAGAACTTAAAAGATTTTGGGGGGAATTTGATGGCTTCTTTACACTGTGGTTGATTTTTGCAAAATCTATTACATTTGGTTATAATTTATGTAGATGCTATCGATTTTCTTTGGGTCCTTTTGTGACACTTTCTGGGAACTAACTTTTCCAGTGGCTTACAAATTTAATCATTAGAGAAACAGTTTAATTAGCATCTTACGCAAGAATCAGGTTAATCATCTGTTACAGCTTTAATTAAAAGATTAAAGAGTCTTGCTTCCCCAGACTCATGTCTCCTCAAATTATAGATTATCATAATACTTAGGAGGTTTCATTTTCACTGTAGTAGTATTACTTGAAATAATGTTTTTAAGTTTTCAGAGTGCTTTCACATCTATTATTTTATTTAATCCTCTCAAGTCCCTATAAGATTAGTGGGGCAGGTTTTATCTCTTCCCATTTGTAGATGAGAAAAATCAAGGCAAATAGGAGTTATGGTATTCCTAAATTAGTAAGGGAGGTGAACTAGATAGGACTACAATTCAGGACTTATAAATTGGGCCCAGGTTGTTTCCTTTCTGTGTTCTGTTGAAAATTTAAATAGAAATTTTTATATGTTGATTTATTTTTTTATACATACAGGTACTTTTTATTATCCTTTACTTGTGTGTAGTTAAATTGAACTTTACTTTGTCCCCCTTTTAGGATATCTATGCACTAAGTCAGAAACTACAGTATTTTATAGAGAATTCAAATTTTTGTGGTGATGATGATGATGATAAATTAGGTGGTTTCAAAGATGTTCAAATTTTAAGTTCTGAAAAACAAGGAGTTATAGATGGATGTTGAAGCTAGATTCACTGTATGCAGCCAGCTGTTATTTTAATTGAACTTTAATATTTTGAGTACTTGTAAATAGTGTTGTAAGAAATAATACAAAGAGATGCTGTATTTTACTGGATTTACCACTTTCTCCCAATAATAACATCTTGCAAAATTATAGTATCACAACCAGATACTGACATTGATATAATCAAGATTTAGAATATGTCCACAGATCTATTCCCTAGTAGTCTTATTTGTTTTATGCTGCTGTTTTGGGGCAGACAGTTGGAGTAAAGATGTGGTTGTTTTTTGCTATATTATGCAAAAAGCTTTGTATTAACAAGAATAACTTAAGCTTACTTTTCTGGCCCTGAAAGTTATCCTTTAACGAAGGAGTGCAATGGTGACAGTCAGATGGGTAATACATAGCCACAGTATGCTGCTTGCAGCAAGGTTAGTGAAGGATGAGCACCCTTCAGACAAACTGCTATACCACGGTCCTGCTAGCTGCCTCATGCTCAGGGATTTCCCACTTCGTCTGTCTACTTAGAAGACAATAGGTGATTTTTACAGACACACAGGTATCTCAGGTTTCGGCCTTGGAAGCATTCTGTGCTTCATGGAGGAGCCAGTCCCCTTGTTATCAAGTCAGTAAGGCCCTTTTTAGCCCCTGGGGCAGTGTCTATCCTAGATGAACTCCCAAAGTTGGGCTTTTTCAGTCTTGGCATCCTACCTGTTTGTGACCTACTTACAGGTAGCACAGCTTAACTTGCTGCCACAATTATCCTTACACCCTTCCTGTAACTCTCATTCCCCTGTGGCCTTCCAGCCAGAAATTTGGTCCTTGGATCTGGCTTCTCAGCAATTAGTCCTGAGAGGGAAGAATCCGTTGGCTCCTGGAAATAAACTGAAAGCACCCAGAGTTTCCCCACACCTTCAGATTTGCACCTTGCTGTCCAGGAGCTTTCTTCAGCTAGCCTTCCTTCCCAGTCCACTATGGCCAATTCCAATAGCAGTGCGGGCATCCGGTGGTCCAGACAGGAGACGCGAACTCTTCTCTCCATACTAGGCGAGGCAGAATATATTCAACGCCTCCAGACTGTGCATCATAATGCAGATGTCTATCAGGCTGTGTCTAAGCGAATGCAGCAGGAAGGCTTCCGCCGCACCGATCGTCAGTGCCGCTCCAAGTTTAAAGTTCTGAAGGCATTATATTTAAAGGCATATGTTGCCCATGCCACAAGTATGGGTGACCCACCACACTGTCCATTTTATGAGACCTTGGATCAGCTTCTCCGAAATCAGGTAGTGACTGACCCAGACAACTTAATGGAGGATACTGCTTGGGCCAAGCACTACACTCAGAACTTAATGGCCTCTGACAACCCAGGGGAAGAGGGAACCGGCATTCTGAAACCAAAAAGGACTCAGGCAGCAGATCATCAGCCTATCTCGAAAACAGTTAAGGAATCAGATGAGGATTGTCAACTGAGAATCACTGACCAGATGCAAGAAACCAGTGACCTTGAGGACTCCTGGGATGAATCCTCAGGTGCAGGTAATTTCCAAACATGTAAAGGATTGGGTCCCAGAGTCACTTGGTTCTAAACAACAGTATATGATTGGATGGTGTGTGTGTTGTTTTTTTTTAACATAACCCCTGTTTTTGCCCCTGCCCTCTTTTTAAAAAACCTAATTATAAGATAAGGGGCTCCAGGTATTTAAAAGCTATGACCCTAGGTATGTAAGGTATAGAACTCTTTAAATGTAGAAGTGCTCTTTAGAACCAAACTATTTTGGCAATATTTATAATGGGTATTTAGGCATTTATGGATATAAAGTGGGTTGGATAGCTAAGTGGAAAGGGGCTCAGTAAGATAAAGGGAAGGTTTTGGAAATATAGGCTAAAATGGCCAGACCAAAGAACTGAATTCTTCCCAGTCCCTTGTAGAAAGAGGATTTTCCAGGATCCACCACAGTTTTGTAATTGTCTCTCAGCTCTGCTGCTGGCTCCATGCATTCCCTTAGCTGGAATGCCCTCTCTGCAACATTGTTGCTTTGTTTTTCAGGGTGCTCTCAAGGGACCCCCAGCTACAACAGTTCCCACCACCTTTTCAGAGGTGCAGTTGCTCCCTGTCAGAGCAGCCCCATGACCAGACTGGGTGTGTCCGGTGAGCCCAGTCCCTGCACCAGCACGGGCCGAAACACTCCTGGGGTGGCCTTCACACAGCAGCCTCCAATCTCCTCCGGAGTTCCTTTTTCTGGTGGGGATAGGCCTTTGACCAGTGAGCCCCCTCCAAGGTGGGCAAGACGAAGAAGGCGGTCAGTGGCCAGGACTATTGCAGCTGAATTGGCAGAAAACAGGAGATTGGCACGAGAACTTTCAAAACGTGAGGAAGAAAAATTGGACAGGCTGATTGCTATTGGTGAGGAGGCCAGTGCTCAGCAAGACACTGCCAATGAGCTCCGCAGGGATGCCGTGATTGCAGTGAGACGCTTGGCAACAGCAGTGGAAGAGGCAACCAGTGCTTTTCAGCTAGGGCTTGAAAAATTGCTTCAGAGATTAATTTCTAACACCAAAAGTTAGGAACTGATGATAAAAGGGTATATACCCTAAACTGATAGAAGCCCATATCCAAGACTTGCCTTTTGGTGACCTGGATCTTTTTCCATGTCCTGAGAGAAAAGAGTGGATGAGCCGCAGATATACAGAAGAGTAGGAATATACATGCTAGTTGTTTTTCCCAAACTTCTCCACTAATTCAAAGACTTCAGATATGTGAGAGGTGGCCTAATGGAAAATGGATGGAGCCAACTCCAGAGCTAGTTAGCCCTGGCTTTGTCACTGATATGAGGCAATTTAGTTTACCTCTCTGCACCAGTTTCCTCATCAGTAAAATGGGAGCTAGGTAACAATTCCTAACCTGCCTACCTCACAGGGATGTTGTGAGGATCAAATGGCTAATAGATGTGAAAGGGTTTAAAAGCACTATATACACATGTAAGTTATTAAATGTATATGACCTTGGCTGAGGTAAGGCAAGGATGCGGCACATTAGTTGACAAGATAGAATTATGGTTGTATACCATGATGATTTCATTGCTTGAATAGTTGTTTAACTTGATTGTTTTCTGAAGTTTAAAGTCTTCAATTTTTTTTAATGCTTCTGTAGCTCAAGACTACTATAGACACAACATCTGTTTGTACCTTTCTCTCATTTTCACTGCTGTCTGTGACATTCCTACTAGTAAGCACTCAATAGTCAAACCATTTTTCCCTCCATTTTAATAGTTCTTAGTCTCTATAGGATATAATTCAAAACTAATAGGAAGCCACAATCATGTTATGGTTCATATTGATAATCCAATATAATGAGATATTGGCTGTTTATAAAATATTAAATGTAAGTAAATTCTTTGCATTCTATATTACTTGGGTCCTTTACATGCATAATTACATATTGTAAAATTTCGATTGCTAATTGAATATCTTGGAAAGATTTGGGATAATATCAGTTTCCCAGGTGCTTTTTAGCTAATTTCACTCTTTTTTGTTAGTGTTGTTCCTGTGTTGTATGTTACAGAAGGCAAGCACTAGAAAACTTTCCTTCTAGGGAACTTTCCAAAATCACTTTTTCTCACATGGTGTAGACCAGTGATGGCGAACCTATGACACACATGTCAGAGGTGTCACGCGAACTCATTTTTTTGGTTGATTTTTCTTTGTTAAATGGCATTTAAATATATAAAATAAATATCAAAAATATAAATCTTTGTTTTACTATGGTTGCAAATATCAAAAAATTTCTATATGTGACACGGCACCAGAGTTAAGTTAGGGTTTTTCAAAATGCTGACACGCCGAGCTCAGAAGGTTCGCCATCACTGGTGTAGACGAAAAATCACCTAGTTAGTGGCATGTTGTGGAAAAGAATAGCTTTGGAAGGAGTTGAGGGTGGTGTGAATAAAGACTGCTTGCAATAAATAACTCCTTTTAAGCACAGGTTCTCAACAAACACATTCCATTTTCCCCCCAAAACACAGGTGTTGAGCCATATTTCCAATTTAAAAAGTTTTTCTTCAATCTCGAGGCTGAAAAAAAGTCTGAGCATGTTGGAAGAAGTTTTATATTTTGCAGGCTTAGGTGCTTAATGCAGGAAATACAAATAGGTGAATAAATAGTTAAAAAACAGTGGGAACATACCTGGAACCATGAATAGATGTCAAGCAAGTGAGCTGCTCTGTTGAGTGGGTAATGGATGGAGGCAGCAGCTGCTGTGGTAGCATACACTGGAATCAAGTTAGAACTCCTGGGTTCTAATCCTGTCACAGTTACATTGGCAAATCATTTGAGTTGTTTTAGGTCACTAAATGGCGGGATATGTGTCAGTTGTAACTAGATAACACTAATGTAGATAGGTAGACATTTTGGAAAACAGGGAAATACTTGGTGAAAAATGAGGCCTGTACTATATTAATCTATTAATGATAGCAAAATAAATAGGCAGTGATTTATTTAAGATAAAGGAAGTGCTAAAGTATAGAAGTGGAGTTAAACTTTGAAGGTAGTATTGTAAAAAGCTAATGGGTAATGTAACCTTAATGTGGGAATAAAACTAAAGGAAAATAACTTAAAGAAGTGAACAGAACAAAAATAGGCAAAATATTATAGAGGAGGGAAGTTGTAATAAGGGGATGTTATGTGAAAGAAAACAAGCCCAGAAATCCTACTTAAGTTCCAGGCCAAACCATTACTACCTGTCCATCCTTAAGTGGGTCATTTTACCATTCTACTAGTATATCTCAGGATCCTCACCTATTAAGAAACTGGTAACTATTCTACCTACCTCACGGGATTGTTGTGAGGGTCAAAGAAACAGATAAATGTAAAAATGCTTTCATACATGGAAAGCACTATACTGTGACAGTAGTGGGAAAGAAGACCCTGTGCATGTTAGTGCTGGTATGTGCCCGGTCTAAGGGCCTGCTGACCATGCAAGAGACATGTAAGGAAGGAGGAGGAAGAGAAAATGGCATTGCTGATAAAGGTTGTGATACTATGGTAGGGTTAACATTCTGCCTCCTTAAGACCATGATGTAAATAAGGTGCTATGTATACTAACCTCCCACCACCCTTTGTTTTTCTGTTACATAATTAATCCTGGTGTGGACAAATAAAGTTTTTATTTGTATGTAGTTGTGAGTCAGTTCACTACTTTCTGGTGCTATCCGTGATCATTTGTCGTCACCTGCATTCTCTGTTTTCTGCTTTTCTTCTAGTTAATCTCCAGGTTCTTGCCTATACATAGCCTCCAAGAGCTATGTGTGCTTTCTGTCTTCACATAAGCTAGGGCCTTTTTGCATAGCAGTTGAGAAATAATTTTCCTTTCTACAAGTTTTATAAATTCCATAAAATATCTTTTCCCAGCAAATAACTTCTCTGAGTGGTAGGTAGCCTACACAATAGGATAAATTATCCTGGTTGACTTAAATTCTAGTCTTAAAACAACTGGTAAAGGTGCACAATTTACAATATTGGTGCAAAAAAATTACTATAGGCACACTTCATCTGATTCTTACTCTTAAAATATTTGTCTAGGATATAGTCTATTGCAGTGGTTCTCAACCTTCCTAATGCCGCGACCCTTTAATACAGTTCTTCATGTTGTGGTGACCCCAACCATAAAATTATTTTCGTTGCTACTTCATAACTGTAATTTTGCTACTGTTATGAATCGTAATGTAAATATCTGATATGCAGGATGTATTTTCATTGTTCACGACCCACAGATTGAGAACCGCTGGTCTATTGGGTGTTTGAAAAGGGAAGAAGAGGAGGGTTCAGTGGAAAGAATACTAAAGTTTGCATTAAAGATCTGGATTCTGGCCAATTCTGCCATTAACCATGTGACTTTGGGTCAGCTATTTTACCTGTTTCCTCACTACTAATTTTTAGGTGATAGAGAAGGAAGTGTGGGGAATCTGCAAGTATTCAGACAGACTTCTAAGCCAAATTAGGTAATTTTAAACAACCCTTTTGTCTTTCTCTTAATTATACAGGTAGGGTTATCAGATGTTCAGTAACCCTTTAGCACAAGCATGTCAAACTAAAAAGCTAACACGAGCCAAATAAACAAGGTTTAAGTTTATGTGGGCCACAAAAAAACAAAAGCCTCAATTTTCATAGAAACGTAGGTTTATTTCGATAGAGATGTGCTGAATACAAAAGGCCGAAATGAGTAATTGTTAACATAAAATAATAGAACACTTTAATAATAAAAATTAAGTTTTTCTTGAACATTAACTTACCAGACACTGAATAACTGCACAAATTAATAAGTGCAACGCAAATAAACCTATTTTTCTTGTTCTCTGAAAGACAAATATTTCCTGTTGCGCACACCAAACAAGTCAGTCCAAGATTAATGACAGGGCAATCGGCTGCTAAAATATTCACTGATAGTATAACATGCTTGCTTTAGCAGTTAGCCACTATTCATTTCCACCTCTTCTTATTAAACATTTAAGACTGGTTTCTGAACAGAATAGCCACAGCCCTTGGAAGAAGGATTTAGGGCAAGCATGTCAAACTTGTGGCCCACAACGAATATTTTTGTGGCCCAGCCAATATAATGGTATGTAAGAAACATTTTAATAAAAATTTCATAACTTAGTTTTTACAATATCCTGTTATACATAAGTATTAATAATGAACTACAACGTTCACTAATGACTGATTACTATACTCATGTTGCATTCATTTCCCTTACGTGCAGGCACACCATTTCTCTCCACTAATACTAGCAGCAAATATTTTAGCAGCCGATTGCCACATCATTAGTCTTGGACTGACTTGTTTGGTGTGCGCAACAGGAAATATTTGTCTTTCAGAGAACAAGAAAAATAGGTTTATTTGCATTGCACTTATTAATTTGTGCAGTTATTCAGTGTCTGGTAAATTAATGTTCAAGAAAAACTTAATTTTTATTAAAGTGTTCTATTATTTTATGTTAATGATTACTCATTTCAGCCTTTTGTATTCAGCACATCTCTATCGAAATAAACCTATGTTTCTATGAAAATTGAGGCTTTTGTTTTTTTGTGCCCCACATAAACTTAAACCTTGTTTATTTGGCTCATGTTAGCCTTTGAGTTTGACATGCTTGGTTTCGGGGACGGATTTACTTCATCTCAGTAAGATGAAATTAAACCAAAAATCAGTTATTCCTATTTCTGCTCAAGGGGCAGAAGTACTTAATCATGCACCATCTTATTGCCAGGCAGTGAACAACCATACCCTGATAGAGAAAACCTGGGATCAAATACTGATTCTGCCCCTTATTAACTGTTAAGTCATTGACCCTCTATGAACCTGTTATCTCTAAAATAATGTCTGCCAAATTAATCCCATTAAGGTATTGTGAAGATCAAGTGAGGTAATATATGTGAAAACAGTCTACACAAATTGGTATTACTATTGTGAGCAACAAAACACCCTTTTTTTTATTGCCATGCACTTTTATTTAGTACCCACTTTATCTAGGGTAATATAGATCTGTCCACCTGTAGTACTGTGTACCTTCCCATATATAACATTTATACTGTTGCTCACTCTTGATTTTGGGTGTTGATTCATGTTCAGACCAAGCAACAAAGATGGTATTAGGCATGCTGGTTTGCCCTTAGTTTGCATTCTTACCTCTTTTGTCCTTTTTATCTCAGTGGTTGGGTCTTCAGAATAATAGATGGGGAAGTATGTAACAAAATCATTGACATTATGAAAATTCATCCCCAAATGTATTATATAGTACCTATTAGTAGCAGTAAGATTAGAATAAGGAAGAGCTACTTTCAAATGCAAAGAATAACACTTTAATAGAATTACTATAACCTTTGTAAAGATTTTTTGTAATTGAAATTTTTTTGAAGTTTTTTAAAATATTAAGCAACTTAATTTTGTTTATATTTTTATATTTGTTCAGTGGTAATAAAAAATATAGTGTTCTTTAAAACTTATATATGAACAATACAGATTTTAATACTTAATTATCTTTATCTTTATGAACAGCTCTGATGACCCACAGGCTCAGAAATACATCACAGAAAGTAAATGTTTAGTGAGTATGGTCCTGTTATTACTTCCCTATTACACAAAGTAATTGCTAAGGTGCTGTCCTATAATATTGGTTTGAAACTTTATATTTTTGTTAAAATTATTCCTTATTTAACACTTACAATTTTCTTTCTAGGTCATTGAAAAAAATGGGAAATTACGATATAAAATAGATACTGGAGAAGAAACAAAATTTGTTAACCCAGAAGATGTTGCCAGACTGATATTTAGTAAAATGAAAGGTATTGAGCCAAAGCAAAAAAATTTTTAAGAGTTGACCTTAAAAGTAGACATATTTTTTGCCCTAGGGAGAAGCAGCTGATTGATCAGATTAGCAGTAAGGAGACCTACACTCTATCTGACTGGGCCACTAATTGGCTGTGTGACTATGGGTAATGACTTACCTTCCCTGACTTTGGTCTCCTTAGAAGTAATGTAAATGGATTGGGCTGAATTAGCATTTTCAAAACTTCTTAAGATGAAGTGGCCAAATAAATGTGATGAAGAATGAATATTATATCTCCTTTAAAATTGACAGTACACTCTCAACAATAGTTAAGCAGATTAAGTAGGTCTGGTTTCATCACTTCTGAGGAGGGCTAGAGCTGAGTGGCATTCTTAAAACAATTTAGGATATTTTGGAGTAGATTATGCATAAGGCTCGCATCACCTCTGGGATTATACTGAGTTTGTGGGATGTGAGGCATCCCTTTAATGTGTTGAACTAACATTATACTGTTTGTCTTTACATTGACACATTAGAAGCTCATTCCCAATAAAAACCAGTCTAATTTGGGAGGTGGTTAAAACTGAAGCCTAAGAGCCAGGCACCTTAGAAAGTACCTAGTTCTATGTCCACAAACTACCAAATCCACAAGCATGATTTAAGAGAGCAAAAAAAGAAAATCAATAGGGTGGGACAGCAAGTGAACTGGAAAATCTTTATAGTGATAAGATCTTTGCTGCAAATTGATAAACCTCAGAAAGTATCACTTGATATATTTCTGTGTCATCAGAATTTATTTTTATGTTTTTTTAATATATAGAAACGGCACATTCTGTCTTGGGCTCAGATGCAAATGATGTAGTTATTACTGTTCCATTTGATTTTGGAGAAAAGCAAAAAAATGCTCTTGGGTAAGTATAATATGGGTTTATTTTATTTGCTTAAAGGAAATACAAATTTTACAATATCACCATATAGTAAAAAAGTAAAATTGCATTTGAAAACCTCTTGGCCAATAAAATTTTATTTGTAACGTGTATTTGTAAATAGTATGGTAAAAAGTATGTTACTGATAATTAATAGTTCCTATCTTTTATGAAATGTCAAGAGAATATAAAATTAGATGTACCTTCTTATCTATTTTGATTAGAAATGTTTTTAATTACCAGGTTAAGTTGATGTTTATGAATTACTTTGCCTTATTTTTATGTAATTAGGGTTTATGTTGAAATTATATAAAAATAGGAAATTTTATATGTTTGCAGGTATTCCTTCACCTTAGTTCTTAACATCTAACCAAAAAGTTGCATGTAGTTTTTATAGATTTTGCAGATACAATTGGTGAGAATGCATGTCTTTACTTTTGGGATACAGTTCCACATGAGGTTTTGGCAAGCATCTAGGTTGCTTCTGGGGCAGAGAATTGCTTCATTTACTTGAACTGGAGGGATATTAAAAACTGACTCTAAAATAAATTGGAAAATTGCAAAATGTTATAAATTTGTCTAAAGTTTATAAGCATAGGCATTTTTGAGAGCTTTCTTTTTCTTGTTAAGTATAAACACATGGTATTTTCTTTATTAAGAAAATAGACTCTGAACATTATTATCTACGCTAATAAAAGACGTAAATTGACCGTCCCTTCACGACGCCCACCAGCCAATCGAGTGAATATGCAAATTAACCCAATAAAGATGGTGGGCCAGTGGGCAGCACACACACACCGAGCAGCTGGGGACAGGGTGGGACACTTGCGTCATCGCCATGGCGATGATGCAGGCGTTTCACACACCCTAACCGCTCCGGGCCTCTAGGCAGTGTGGAAGGTGGAAAGGTGGCTTCGGGCCAGAGCGAAGGCAGAAAGGCAGCTCCGGCCGGAGTGAAGGCGGTGCTGGCAGCCAGGGGAAGGAAGGCCTGTTCTTGCACAAATCTTCATGCAGTGGGCCTCTAGTTTTTTATAAAACAATACCTAATTATTTATTTAACCAATGTGAGTTAAAATAAAAGTTTAAAGACAAATATAGCATGTTACATAGTTGTGAGTAAACGTTAGCTTTTTAATATTGAGTAGACTCAGTTTTGAAAAAGTAATTCAAGACCTGACAATAAAACTAACATGAAGCATAAGAAATCCTATATAATAAACAGCTAATATGCAAATGTTTGTCATGCCATCACATGCCAAACAGCTCAGACACTCAACACTGGGGAGAGAGGAATGGGGACCAGCCAGGCTGCAGCCCGGGAGAGGGACAAGCCACCCGCCCCATGGTCCTGGGCACCTCCGGCTGCAGCCCAAGCAAAGCACCCCGCCTACGGTCCCCTGCAGCTGCGGCTGGCCCGGGTCCTGGGTGCCTGTGGCCGGCCAGAGGAAGGGAAGCCTGGGTCCCGGGTGCAGGGCGAGGCAGAGGCAGTTAGGGGCAATCAGGCCAGTAGGGGAGCAGTTAGGGGCAATCAGGCAGGCAGAGGTGGTTAGGGGTGATCATGCAGGCAGAGGGGTTAGGGGCGACCAGGCAGGCAGGCAGGCGAGCAATTAGGAGTCAGCGGTCCCGGATTGCGAGAGGCAGTCAGACATCCCCTGAGGGGTCCTGGATTGGAAAGTGTGCAGGCCGGGCTGAGGGCCTTCTCCCCCACCCCCCGTGCACAAATTTCATGCACCAGGCCTCTAGTTATTTTGATGAAATAAAATGTTTGCTTTTTAGGTAGATTACTTACAAGGTAAAGAGAAACCTTTCTCAAACTTTTGTCAGAAGCAGCTCGATAGTCAAAGAAAACTCCATTTAGCAGATCAAAGAAAATTTTTAGTTTTCCATAAGTATACTATTCATATTAGCGCTTTAAAATCCTATAAAATAAAAGGCTAATATGCAAATTGACCAAACAGCAGAATAATCGGTCGCTGTGACGCGCACTGACCACCAGGGAGCAGACGCTCAACGCAGGAGCTGCTCCCTGGTGGTCAGTGTGAGTGCCGCTCACCAGAAGCTGGGCGCATGGGTGGCGAGCGCAGCAGCAGTGGCAGGAACCTCTCCTGCCTTCGCAGCAGCTCTAAGGATGTCCGACTGACGGCTTAGGCCCACTCCCCACAAGTGGGCCTAAGCCGTCAGTCGGACATCTCCCGAAGGTTCCCAGACTGCAAGAGGGTGCAGGCCGGACTGAGAGACCCCTCCCCCCCACCCCCGCGCCAGTGCACAAATTTCATGCACCAGGCCTCTAGTACTATATAATACATTGGTTCCATTTTAGATAGCTTCTCTATACAAGATCAGTTCTCTCTATTTCCAGCTTTTTCATTTGTTCTTTATTTCTTTGTTTCTCATTCTTAATAATCAGTTGTACTTTAGGACAAAATTACTTTTTTCTTTGTTTTTCATCTTTATTATTGAAAGAATTACACATGTCCTCTTTTTTTTCCCCATTGACCCCTTCTAGCCTGCCCCAGTCCCTTGCCCCAGACCTTCACCACACTGTTGTCTGTGTCCATGAGTTATGCATACTGCCATTTGGCCCAGTGATCCCACTTTTAGGAATATATTCTAAGAAACCCGAAACATCAATCAGAAGGAATATATGTACCCTTGTGTTCATAGCAGCGTAATTTACAATAGCTAAGATCTGGAAACAGCCCAAGTGCCCATCAATAGATGAGTGGATAAAAAAGCTGTGGTACATTTACACCATGGAATATTATGCAGCAGGATGAAAGAAGGGTCTCTTACTCTTTGAGACAGCATGGCAGGACTTGGAGAGTATTATGCTAAGCAGACTAAGACAGAGAAAAACAAGTATCACATGATCTCACTCATATTTGGAATCTAATGAACAAAATAAACGCACAAAATAGATCCAGAGATATAGAAGCATGGAACAGGCTGTCGAATCTCGGGGAAGGCAGAGATGAGTAGGAAGAGATCAAGCAATGAACATTATTAAATGGAAAAAGATCTCAAAAGTTACATTCATCTCTTGTGTCCTATTATATTGCTTCTAAAGATCATTACCATCCATATTCTACTTATGAAATCTTATTTGCTATTGCATAAAATCTTATAGTAGAGCATTTCTACAATGTACACTTGAACATGTGATGCTAAATTCACTGAAAGCAAATTGTCCACAGGGAAGCAGCCAGAGCTGCTGGCTTTAATGTTTTGCGGTTAATCCATGAACCATCTGCAGCTCTCCTGGCTTATGGAATTGGACAAGAGTCCCCCGCTGGAAAAAGGTAAAAATCGTGTTTTCAGCTTTAAATTATTCAGTGCAGAAAACATTTAAGATTTATAGCAATTACATCAGTAGAGATTATTATAAAATGCAGCTCTTCCAAGCCTTTGTGAATGGAAAGACATCAAAACTCTCAACTGGAGTTTTTCAAATAGATGAGAAAGGTGTCCTAGGGGAGCAGAGACGGGACATAACAGGAGGGAAGATTGACCATATCTATCCTTCTCTTATGACCCACATTTTGTCCCTATAATTGAGATAGATTTGAAATTTGTAAGCTCAGCCACATTCCAAATCAAGCTAGGACACTTAATTTTACTACCAATTTCAGTTATTAAATTTGTTTATAACTAGTGAGTAGTTTTATGCACATTTATCTTGACAGATGACGAGAAATCCAACATGAGGATTTAAGAATTATTTTGATTATGAAACAGTAAAACATACCCCTAATTTAGTTGTCAAAGTTGTCTTACTAGGCCTGACATATGCAGCTTCAAGGAAATTAATTCAGATGTGTTAATGTTCTCTAATTGTTTCACCTTGTATCTTATCTCACAGTTTGAGTAAAGAAATGAATATATATAAATCAGTAGGAAATTATTTTTAGGTAAACTAGATAAATGTAAAATAACAGAAATTATAAATTTTTATACATAGGAAATTAGCTTCTAGTTTTGGGTATGTTTCATGTTTATAGACATGTTATTGCAGCAGTAACTTGGATAATATTAACACAAAATTTCTATTTTTAATTCTCTTACAATTCACTATAATCACAAATCTTTTCTTTATTTAAAAAGTTGGTGTTTTGAACTCTAGTTATTCAGAAGAATACAATTTTACCAGCACAACTAAATGAAAAATAATTTTGACTTAAAATTAAAAGATCTAGTTTTTAAGCTTAATTCATCACTAAGTGATGACTATGGACAATTTTTTTTTTAATGGAATTTATTGGGGTAACACTGGTTAACAAAATTTACAGGTTTTAGGTGTACAATTCTACAACACTGTATTGTGTGTTCACCAACCCAAGTCAAATCTCTATCATCATTTATCCTCCCTATACCCTCCTCTACCTCTCTCCACACCCCTCTTCCCAGCAATCACCATACAACCATGGACAAGTTAGTTACTCATGAGATTTTCAGTTTCCTTATTTGTGATCTAAATGGATTAAACTAAGTGGCTCCTTAGTTTAAGAAGTGGAGCCTAGCTTTAAAATGTTGTGTTCTCATAACTTACTCATGTTATCTCTTTTTTAAGCAATATTTTGGTGTTCAAACTTGGAGGAACATCCTTATCTATCAGTGTCATGGAAGTTAACAGTGGAATATATCGTGTTATTTCAACAAACACTGATGATAACATCGGAGGTACACAATTTACAGAAACCTTAGCACAGCATCTAGCTTCTGAGTTTCAGAGGTGAGTAATAATGAATTTGATTATATATATTGTTGTTGTTAGTCTTCACCTGAGGATATTTTTTCCATTGATTTTTAGAGAGAATGGAAGGAGGAGAGAGAGAGAAAGAAATAGAGAAATATCAATGTGGGAGTATACATTGATTGGCTGCCTCCCACACACGCCCCTTCCAGGGCAAGGGAACCTACAACTGAGGCACATGCCCTAACCAGGTATCGAATGCATGATCCTTCAATATGCTGGCCAATGCTTTGAGCCAAACCAGCCAGGGCTGATGATATATTTTGATTGAAGTTTGTCTTTAGTTTTTTTGCCCTAATTTATTTGAAATTGCTCTGCTTGCCGAAACCGGTTTGGCTCAGTGGATAGAGCATCTGCCTGCGGACTGAAAGGTCCCAGGTTCGATTCCGGTCAAGGGCATGTACCTGGGTTGCGGGCACATCCCCAGTAGGAGATGTGCAGGAGGCGGCTGGTCAGTGTTTCTCTCCCATCGATGTTTGTAACTATCTCTCTCCCTTCCTCTCTGTAAAAAAATCAATAAAATATATTTTTAAAAAAAATATTGCTCTGCTTCAAAGGAGGATGTGTTTTTTTCCAATGTACTGGATATTTTTGTGGAGTTAATATCCATCCACGCAAATGTTGGGAAGCATAGGCCAAGCATAGTCCAGTGCACTGTGCTTGGATTTTTTACTTAGTTTAAGGGATTGCCAGACACGGAACTGTGTGGATTTGGATCTCAAGTCCAGTTTCTTAATTCTTCATCTGCTGCTCTATGTCTCAGGGAAGGCCTCAGTACCTTCTGAACATTTTTCAAGTTTAGAGCTGATGATGACGATTACATTGTTATAGTCACATTCCACGGAATTAATGGAGTGTTTACTTAATTACTAATCTACTAGTACAGAGAGTATTTTATTATTGTTACTGGATGCAGTTATTCCATTCAAAATTCTAATCTTGTTTGGTATATCAAGAGCCACATATATAAAGGTTATATTTTGGACATTACCGCGCTAAAAACAATGTGGCTGAAACAGTGTTTTCATCTGTTTAGCTCAGCAGTTCTCAACCTGTGGGTCGTGACCCCTTTGGGGGTAGAACGACCCTTTCACAGGGTTTGCCTAAGACCATCAGAAAGCACATATATAATTACATATTGTTTTTGTGATTAATCACTATGCTTTAATTATGTTCAATTTATAACAATGAAAATACATCCTGCATATCAGATATTTACATTACACTTCATAACAGTAGCAAAATTACAGTTATGAAGTAGCAACGAAAATAATTTTATGGTTGGGGGTCACCACAACATGAGGTACTGTATTAAAGGGTCGCAGCATTAGGAAGGTTGAGAACCACTGGTTTAGCTATACTAGATAAAAGAAAGTCTTGAAAAAGTGGTAATTTCTCATTTGTTAAATAAAGACCTATACCGTTTTTTGTTATAAAGGTGTCCCAATTCAAGGTAGAGCATTGTTAATTTTACTCACAATTCTAATTAATGTACATATTTAAAGACATGTAGTTCCCTATAAATGTTGGAGATTAAACCCTTATTGGTGATAACATTGGCGAATATGTTCTCCCATGCAGTGGGCTTTCTTGTTGTTTTGTTGATGGTTTCTTTTGCTGTGCAGAAGCTTTTTATTTTGATGTAGTCCCATTTGTTTATTTTCTCTTTAGTTTCCAATGCCATAGGAGCTGTATTGGTAACGATATTCCTTTGGCATATGTCTGAAATTTTGTTGCCTTTAAATTCCTCTAGTATTTTTATGGTTTCCCGTCTTACATTTAAGTCCTTTATCCATTTTGAGTCTTTTTTTGTGTATGGTGTAAGTTGGTGGTCTAGTTTTATTTTTTTGCATTTATCTGTCCAATTTTCCCAACACCATTTATTAAAGAGACTGTCTTGACTCCATTGTGTGTTCTTGCCTCCTTTGTCAAATATTAATTGAGCATATTGGTTCGGGTCGATTTCTGGGCTCTCTATTCTACTCCATTGATCTATATGTCTCTTTTTGTGCCAATACCAGGCAGTTTTGAGAACAGTGGCTTTGTAATATCAGGTATTGAGATCCCACGTACTTCGTTCTTCTTTCTTAGGATCGCTGCAGCTATTCTGGGTCTTTCTTTATTCCAGATGAATTTTTGGAGAGTTCGTTCTAGGTCTGTGAAATATGCTGTTGATATTTTAATGGGAAGTGCGTTGAATTTATAGATTGCTTTGGGTAGTATGGACATTTTAATGATGTTGCTTCTACCAATCCATGAACATGATATGTTCTTCCATCTATTTATGTCTTCCTCTATCTCTTTTTTCAACGTCCTGTAGTTTTCTGGGTAGAGGTCTTTTACCTCTTTAGTTAGGGTTATTCCTAGCAATCTTAATTTTTTTGGTGTGATGGTAAATGGGATTGCTTTTTTAGTCTCACTTTCTGTAAGTTCACTATTGGTGTATAGAAATGCCATAGATTTCTTGGTGTTGATTTTGTGTCCTCCTACATTGCCGAATTCATTTATTAAGTCTAATCGTTTTTTGATGGAGTCTTTAGGGTTTTTTATGTACACTATCATGTCATCTGCGAATAAGGACAGTTTTACTTCTTCATTTCCAATTTGGCTGCCTTTTATTTATTCTTCTTGTCTAATCACAATGGCTAATACTTCCAGTACTGTATTGAACAGGAGTGGTGAGAGTGGGCAACCCTGACTTGCTCCTGTTCTTAGGGGAAATGGTTTTAGTTTTTACCCATTGAGTATGATGTTGGCTGTGGGTTTGTCATATATGGTTTTTGTTATATTGAGGTATGATCCTTCTATTCCCACTTTGCTGAGAGTTTTTAATCAAAAATGGGTGTTGGATTTTGTCAAATGCTTTTTCCGCATCAATTGATATGACTGTGGTTTTTATCTCTCAAATTGTTTATGTGATGTATTACGTTTATTGATTTGCAGATATTGTACCATCCTTGCATCCCTGGGATAAATCCTACTTGGTCATGGTGTGTGATCTTTCTGATGTACTGTTGGATCCGATTTGCTAGGATTTTGTTGAGGATTTTGGCATCTATGTTCATGAGGGATATTGGCCTGTAATTCTCTTTCATTGTGTTGTCTTTATCTGGTTTTGATATTAGGGTGATGCTGGCTTCATAGAATGAGCTTGGAAGTGTTCCTTCCTCTTGAATTTTTTGGAATAGTCTGAGGAGGATAGGTTTTAGTTCTTCCTTGAATGTTTGGTAAAACTCCTCTGTGTAGCCATCTGGCCCTGGGCTTTTGTTTGCTGGAAGCTTTTTGATTACTGCTTCAATTTCTTCCAGTTATTGGCCTATTGAGATTTTTAGATTCTTCCTGATTAAGTTTTGGAATGTTGTATTTTTCTAGGAATATGTCCATTTCCTCCAGCTTGTCTAGTTTGTTGGAGTAGAGTTGTTCATAGTATTTTTTAACAATCCTTTGTATTTCTGTGTGGTCTGTTGTTATTTCTCCTCTTTCATTTCTGATTTTGTTTATTTGGGTCCTCTCTTTGTTTCTTGGTGAGCCTGGATAGAGGTTTTTCAATCTTGATTATCCTTTCAAATAATCAGCTCTTGGTTTTGTTGATCTTTTGTATTGTTTTTTTGGTCTCTATGTCCTTTATCTCTGCTCTGATCTTTATTATTTCCTTCCTTCTGCTTACACTAGGCTTTTCTTGTTGCTCTCTTTCTAACTCTTTGAGTTGTAGGGTTAGGTAATTTATTATCATTGTTTCTTGTTTTTTGCAGTAAGCTTATAGAGCTATGAACTTCCCTCTCAAGACTACTTTTGCTGTGTCCCGTAGGTTTTGTATTTTTGTGTTTTCATTGTCGTTTGTTGCCATGATGTTTTTTATTTCTTCTTTGATCTCTCTGGTAACCCAGTCATTGTTTAATAGCATGCTATTTAGTCTCCATGTGTTTGATTTTTTTGGATTGTTTTTATTGTAGTTGGTTTCCAGTTTTATGCCATTGTGATCTGAGAAGATGCTTGATATGATTTCTATCTTCTTGAATTTGAAGAGACTTTGCGTGTGACCCAATATATGGTCTAGCTTTGAAAATGGTCCATGTGCACTTGAGAAGAATGTATATTCTGTAGCTTTGAGGTGAAATGTTCTGAAGATGTCAATTAATTCCATCTGATCTAGTGAGTCATTTAGGATTGATGTTTCTTTGCTGATTTTTTGTTTAGAGGACTTGTCCAATGGCGATAGTGGGGTATTAAAGTACCCTATTATGATTGTATTGATGTCTATCTCTCCCTTGATCTCCTCCAGAAGTTTTCTTATGTATTTGGGTGCTCCTATATTGGGTGCGTATATGTTTACCAGAGTTATTTCTTCTTGTTGTATTATGAAGTGGCCTTCCTTATCGCTTTTTATGTCCTTCAATTTGAGATCTAATTTGTCAGATATAAGTATTGTTACCCCAGCTTTTTTTTCATTTCCATTCGCTTGAAAAACCTTTTTCCATCCCTTCACCGTCAGTCTGTGTACGTCTTTTATTCTGAGGTGGGTTTCCTGTAGACAGCAGATTTATGGGTCGTGTTTTCTTATCCACTCAGTTACCCTATGTCTTTTGATTGGGGCATTTAATCCATTTACATTTAAAGTTATTATTATTACTTTTATTAAATCTTTATTGTTCAGATTATTACATTTGTTCCTCTTTTTTTCCCCCCATAACTCCCCTCCTTCCAGTTCCCAACCCACCCTCTGCCCTCACTCCCCACCCACTGTCCTCATCCATAGGTGCACGATTTTTGTCCAGTCTCTTCCCGCATCTCCCACACCCTTTTCCCCCCCAAGAATAGTCAGTCCATTCCCTTTCTATGTCCCTGATTCTATTATAATCACCAGTTCATTCTGTTCATCAGATTATTTATTCACTTGATTCTTAGATTCACTTGTTGATAGATGCATATTTGTTGTTCATAATTTGTATCTTACCTTTTTCTTCTTCTTCCTCTTCTTAAAGGATACCTTTCAGCATTTCATATAATACTGGTTTGGTGGTGATGAACTCCTTTAGCTTTTCCTTATCTGTGAAGCTCTTTATCTGACCTTCAATTCTGAATGATAGCTTTGCTGGATAAAGTAATCTTGGTTGTAGGTTCTTGGTATTCATCACTTTGAATATTTCTTGCCACTCCTTTCTGGCCTGCAAAGTTTCTGTTGAGAAATCAGCTGACAGTCGTATGGGTATTCCCTTGTACGTAACTGAGTTTCTTTCTCTTGCTGCTTTTAAGATTCTCTCTTTGTCTTTTGCTCTTGGCATTTTAATTATGATGTGTCTTGGTGTGGTCCTCTTTGGATTCCTTTTGTTTGGGGTTCTCTGCGCTTCTTGGACCTGTAAGTCTATTTCTTTCGCCAGGTGGGGGAAGTTTTCTGTCATTATTTCTTCAAATAGGTTTTCAATATCTTGCTCTCTCTCATCTTCTGGCACCCCTATAATTCTGATATGGTACGCTTGAAGCTGTCCCAGAGGCTCCTTACACTATCTTCATATTTTTGGATTCTTTTTTCATTTTGCTTTTCCGGTTGGGTGTTTTTTGCTTCTTCACATTTCAAATCTTTGACTTGATTCTTGCGCTCCTCTGGTCTGCTGTTGGGAGTCTGTATAATATTCTTTATTTCAGTCTGTGTATGCTTAATTTCTAGTTGGTTCTTTATTACAACCTCGAGGGTCTCATTAGATTTCTTGTAGATCTCAATAATTTTATCGGCGGCTTCTAGACAGTTCTTGAGAGACCTTAAAAGTGTGGTTCTGAACTCAATATCCTCCATTGACAATTTTGTCCTGTTTCTTTGTCTCCGCATTTTTTTTTGCTTTCTTGGTGCACCCCCTTGTGGTCTTTGTGCGCAGTCTTGTTGTAGTTAAGCCTTGATTGTTGTAGTTAATACTAGGGGGATTTGACCTCCGGGCCAACTGGCTGTGAGAATCAGCTGTGTCTGCAGTGGGAAAACTTCTGTCTTCTGGGGAGGTGCTAATCTAGCCTTTGCCTGAGGCTGTCTGGCAAATGGGTCTGTGCAGGGCTTGGGCGGGGCGGGTCGCACGGAATCAACAGGGTGGGCAGAGCGAGCAGTTATGGCTGCTCTCAGTTCCATCCCCAGAGGCTCTGCCTCATAGAGTCCCAGCAACCGCTGCAAACCTCGGAGAGAAAGCTGCCCTCACGCTCCGACCGATGCCAGACAGTCCCGCTTCTCCCGTTTGAGTCTGGGTCCCCAGAGACTTGCCCGGAACTAGAGCTCAGAGCCTGAGCCTCCCTCCTGATTGAAAACAACAACCGTGCCCTCAGCCACCAGCCCGCTTCGCGCGCACCTCCACACCTTTGTATTTTCCACACTGCACCTCCTCTGAGTCTCGGTATGCTGTTCTCTTTCCTTCTAGTTGAAGAATTTCCCCTCAGCCAGCCTTCCTGTGGTTCTGGGTGATGTCCATTCCATCTTTTAGTTGTATTTTTGAAGTGGTTGTTTGAGGCAGCAAACTCCTGTGTTTGCCTTTGCCTGAGGCTATCTGGCAAATGGGTCTGTGCAGGGCTTGGGCGGGGCGGGTCGCACAGAATCAACAGGGTGTTTACCTATGCCGCCATCTTGGTTTCTGTCGTAAAGTTATTATTGATAGATACTTGTTTGTTGCCGTTTTTATTCTTTACCCCTGTATTCCTTCTTCATTTCCTATTTTTTTCTTTTTACAGCAGACCCTGTAGCATTTCTTGCATTGCTGGTTTGGTGGTAATAAACTCCCGTAGTCATTTTTTGTCTGTGAAGCTCCTGATTTCACCCTCAATTTTGATTGATACCCTTGCTGGGTACAGTATTCTTGGATTCAGACCCTTCCTTTGCATGACTGTGTATTTCATTCTATTCCCTTCTTGCCTGATGTTTTTCTGTTGAGAAATCAGTCGCTAGTCTGATGGGGGATCCTTTGTAGGTAACTTTCTGTCTCTCTCTGGCCGCTTTTAAGATTCTTGCTTTGTCATTGGTGTTTGCCAATTAGTTATAATGTGCCTTGGCGTCGGTCTTTTGGGGTTCATTTTGTTTGGGACTGTGTGAGCTTCTTGGATTTGTGTGAGTTTTTTCTTCCCTATATCAGGGATGTTTTCTGTCATTATTTTTTCAAACAGGTTTTTCTATTCCTTGCTCAGTTTCCTCTCCTTCTGGCACCCCTATTATGCGGGTGTTGTTTCATTTCGTGTTGTCCCAAAGTTCTCTTAGGCTCTCCTCCTGCTTTTTAATTTTTTTTTCTAGAAGCTGCTCTGCTTAGGTATTTTTTCCTACCTTGTCTTCTAGCTCACTGATGCCGTCCTCTGCTTCTTCTAGTCTACTGTTGATGCTTTCTATTGAGGTCTTTATAGCAGTGATGTCATTTTTCATTTCTTCTTGGTTCTTCTTCATTTCCTCTTGGTTCTTACACATATTGTTGAATTTGTGTTCCATTCTTTTCACCCACCTTATGACCATTTCTCTGAATTCTTTCTCTGCCTCCATTTCGTTTACTTCCTTTTCTGGTGATGCCTGTTTTTCTTTCATATGCGGGCTGTTTCTTTGTCTCCCCATGATCTCTCTTCTCCAGGTGATAGGTTATGTAGTTCTCTCTCTGCTGCGTTGATTTAAAGGCACAAAATACAACACAACAAGGCACAACATACAAGGCACTGAACATAAATGTATTCACAATACTAATAACCCCAAATAAAGGTGACCACCAGAGCAAAGAGAATTAGGGTATAAGGAAGAAAGAAGAGGAGTGCAAAAATGAAGTTGGGAAAAGGAAAAAAAAGTAAGAGAGAAAAGAAAAAGGATGAAATAGAAGAGGGGAAGAAACTATTTATATGGGGAGAAAACGCCAATAGAACAGCCACTAATCCCAACAAATTCCAGCAACAGATCCCTAGAGATGAATGCAAACTACAAACAACAATTGATATCAAGCGAGGCGAGGGAACACAGAAGCAAAAAAATAACCGGGGGGAAAAAAAACAACAGAAAAAGAGAAAGAAAAACAATCTCACAAACAAGCATAAAAAACCCAATATACTCAACAATCAAGCAAACAACAACAAAACGCCAGAGAGAAAAAAAATTTGGATAGTGAAAAAAGAGAAGAGAGAGGTGTATATGGATTTAGAGCAGGGAATTGGAAATTAGATATATAAATAGGGTGAAATTTTAAGAGGGGGTGAAAAAGAAGGAATAGGGAAAATCTAAAGCAGAAATAGGGTAAGAGAAACAGGACAACAAAAGGGGAAAAGTGAGTAAGAGAGTTTGGCGTAAAGGTAAAGTTGAGGTAGAGTAAAATGATGCTAAAGGAAAGATGAAAATAGAATGTAGAACACTAATCCCAAAATAAAATAAAGAGAAAATAAAATGACACTATAAAACAAGGTAAAATGGTTGTAGTAATAATACTGGTTAAAAATAAAAATGTAGTAATTAAAAGGGCAAAATCAGGTGATGAAAAATGAAAAAATTTAGCTTCTTGAGTAAAAGGTGAAAAAAAATTGTGCAGTAGTGAAGGTCCTTCAATTACTCTACTCTTCTGTTTGGCACGCCTTAGTCCTGTCAGGTGTTCAGGAGAGTGTTGAAGTTCCCTGCGATACACTGTTCCTCTGCGTTGTAAACCACAGTCCTGATTTTAAAGCAGGCAGTATTTGTTTCCCAGACTACCATTATTTGTGTTTACAGAAGCGTCAGTTTGTGGTTCAGACCCTGGTCAGCAGTGTTTCTGGATTGACCTCCAAGGCTATAAGTCCTCTCTGGCCAGTAGTTGGGTTTTGGGAGAGTCGACTGCCCAGAACTGGTTCTTTGATCGTTACTCCCCACTCTGATTCCCACTCCACCAAAACAACTTTCCCCTGCAGTCTCTGTGAGTGACCCCAATTGGGCGATCCTATGTATTGGATGTAATAATCAAACACAAAGATTTAAGGGGGAGAGAGAAAAAGGAAAAAGAGCCTGAGAAGGTGCATGAACTGGCAACCCTCCACCGTCCAGCTCTGTGCGCAGTCTCTTCCACACATCCTCTCTCCCCTGGAATTAAGCAGCCAGCACACTGGCAATATCCGAGGCTGCCTTTTTCACCCAATCCAGCTATGGGGGGTAAAAAGAAGGAATAGGGAAAATCTAAAGCAGAAATAGGGTAAGAGAAATAGGGTAAGAAAAATAAGCTATGGGCTTATTTTTAGAGTTCCCTTCTGCCAGCAGCCCTGTGGGACCCCTTCCACATTCACAGATCACGCTGGCCCCAACGGCCGTGGACTTTGTGGGGCGCAGAGTTCCCCCGCACGCGTTCCTCTCTCCAACCTGGATTGCAAACCACACCTTTAGGTGAAATCTGGCCTTTCCATGAGGAGGAGCAAGGCTTGTCTGATTCCATGTAGTCGCGCTGCTTGAGATGATCCCTGGATGCCGTGGTAGTAGGGTCTCTGGATGTATACGCTTCCGATATCAGCCACTCAAGATGGCGCGGTCTCTGCGGCTGAGCCGGCACTCTGGGAGAGATTTCAGCAGCAGTGGAGGCTGCCGGTTTAAGGGACCCCAATCTGGCAGTCTCCAACAGTTCCCTTTCTCTTCGAGTCCTCCGTCTTTCCTGGCTGCAGACTGTCTCTCAGCTGAATCTCCTGCCAATTTGGGCTAGATGTTACCGGTTCAGCTGCTCACCCTATCTGCTCTGGGACAAGGCATGGGACACATCCATCTATACCGCCGCCATTTCAGATCTCTGTCTATTTTTGTGTTTAGCTATTGCACTCATTACCCCAATTTACCACAGTGTGTCCTGTCTGGGCAGGACAGAGAAAGACTCAACAAGCCTTATTATCTTAATTGGGATTATCCAGATTTTAGTTATAATAAATTCTAACTTCAGAAACTATATTTTTAACATAGATCCTTCAAACATGACATCAGAGGAAATGCTCGTGCTATGATGAAATTGATGAACAGTGCTGACATTGCAAAACATTCTCTGTCAACCTTGGGAAGTGCCAATTGTTTCCTTGACTCGTTATATGAAGGTCAGGATTTTGACTGCAATGTGTCCAGGTAAAACTGAAGTTCGAAAAACCTTCATAAAAATGTCAACTGCTTTCATGTTTAGGTGTAATTTTCTCACTCTTGGGTTTTTTCTTCATTTGAAATTTAGTTGCCATCTATAAAAGAGCTTTCTTGTCTTTACTTCTGGGATCCAGTTTTTTGTCAGAATAAGTAACTGTTCTCAAAATAATTATGTCAGGTGTGATTGTTACTTGCAAATAGCAGTGTCTGAAAAAAATCATCCCAGATCTTTTAAAGAATGGTGAGAGGAGACTTAAGTTTGAGATTTTCAGATTTCTCTTACTAAATGGCAGCCCCATCTATATGGCTCCTACTTTATTGCTTAAATTTGACGTGGGGCTTGCACATGGTTCAAGGTTGTTTACTATAACTTAATCATTAACACTATGTGGTAGCCTGTATTCTAAGTATGAACTCATCATATCCTCACAACAACCCAAAGATAATGTCCTTATTTTACATATGAGGAAGCTGAAATACAGAGAGGTTTATTTGCCCAAGGTTACACAGCTAGTAAGTGATGGACCTGGGATTCAAACCTAGCCAGTTGGACCCCAAAGTTCAGACTCTGTAATTATTACACTACTAGAGGCCTGGTGCACAAAAATTTGTGCACTGGTGGGGGTTTCCCTCAGCCCAGCCTGTGCCCTCTCGCAGTCTGGGACCCCTCGGTGGATGTCCACCTGCTGGCTTAGGCCGGCTCCCTGGGAGGGGGGGATTGGGCCTAAGCTGGCAATCAGACATCCCTCTGGCAGCCCAGGAGCCCTCGGGGGATGTCCACTTGCCAGCGGGGAGCAGGCCTAAGCTGCAGTCATACATCCTTAGCGCTGCTGAGGAGATGGGAGAGGCTCCCACCACCACCGCTGTACTGGCAGCCATCAGTCTGGCTTGTGGCTGAGCAGAGCTCCCCCTGTGGGAGTGCACTGACCACCAGGGGGCAGCTCCTGCATTGAGCGCTGCCCCCTGGTGGTCAGTGTGTGTCATAGTGACCAGTCATTCCACTGTTAGGGTCAGTTTGCCTATTATCCTTTTATTATATAGCATAGAGGCTTGGTACATGGGTGGGGGCAGGCTGGTTTTCCCTGAAGGGTGTCCCGGATCAGGGTGGGGGTCCCTGCTGTGGTGCCTGGCCAGCCTGGGAGAGGGGCTGATGGGTGTTTGCAGGCTGGTCACACCCCTTTCAGGGTGGGGGTCCCCACTGGGGTGCTTGGCCAGCCTGAGTGAGGGGCTGATGGCTTTTTGCAGGCTGGTCAAGCCCCCCCCCCCAGTTGGTACCCACACCCCCTTTAGGTTGGGGGGGGTCCCCACTTGGTTGCCTGGACAGTCTGGGTAAGGGGCTGAGGGCCGTTTTCAGGCCGGCCCATCCCCCGGCAACGGATGCTCCCAGCCTCTCCTTTTTTCCTTTTTTATTCTGAGATTTATTTTCCTTCTATAATTGAAACTTTGTAGCGGGAAGTTTGGCTTCCTGCTCGCTCCAGCTCTGTGGCCACAGCCTGCTGAAAACAGGTATCTGGGGTTTATTTATCTTCTATAATTAAAACTTTGTTACCTTCAGTGGAGCTCAGAGCCAGCAGCGGCAGGCGGGAAGCCTGGCTTCCTCCATCACTGGAGCAACCAAGCCTCCAGCTTGCTCCAGCTCCGTGGCTGCCGACCGCCATCTTGGTTGGGTTAATTTGCATATAGTCGCTCTGATTGGCTGGTGGGCATGGCTTAAGGCATAGCAAAGGCATGGTCAATTTGCATGTTTGTCTTTTCTTAGATTAGACTAGGGGCTCAGGGCACAAATTCATGCACCTTGAAAGGAACTGTAGGCCATGAGGCTGCAGTGGGCATGGGTGTGTCTCAGTCCATCTTCCACGCCCCTGTCTGGCCCCTCCTGCCGCAGCCTCCAGTTCCTTGTCTGCTGGCAGCCCCACTCCCGCTGCCAACGTTCCCACACGCTGACGGCGCCAGCCCCGCTTGCACCCGATGATGGCGCAGAGCAATTGGGGCCGGCGCCAGCAGTGGGTGCGAGCAGGGCCGGCACTGACAGCGGGTGCAAGCAGTGGCTGCTGCCCCAATCACCCATCAGGAGCTGGGGAAGGTTAGAAACCCTGAGGGGCAATTGGTGCCGTCAGCCGCCACTCGCACCTGCTGATGGCACCAAGCGATTGGGACCAGCACCAGGTGCTGGCAGCAGGTGTGAGCGGTGGCTCCAGTGCTGGCTGCGAGTGCAAGTGGGGCCATTGCCAGCAGCGGGTGTGAGAGGTGGCTGCTGGCCCCAATTGCCCCTCAGGAGCATGGGGAAGTGGACAAGCCCTGAGGGGCAGTCAGGGCCGGTAGCAGATAAAAGCGTCAGGCAAGACCACAGCGTGCTAGAGCAAAGAATTTTCAGTAACCACCAGAGGCTCGCCCCGATGACAGCGACTGGCGCCCCACCTTGGTCTGGCGCCCCCGCTCACCTGCTCTATCATCCTGCTGCATCTATCATCCACCATGTTCCACGCTCTGCCGCCTGCTGCCGACACCTGCCATGTTCCGCACGCGCCCCCTGGCGGTCAGCTCATGTCATAGCGACCAGTTCGGTTGGTTCGCTGTTCAGTCTATTTGCATATTAGCCTTTTATTATGTAGGATACTAAAGATTGATATTTATTTTGGTTTTGATTGCTCTGTCACCCATCATCATTTTAAATTTTAATAGTTGTTATGACTTCCACTAAGTGTAGATATAATGTGCATAAAACTATTTTTAATACCTTTGTCTTTTACATAATCCAAATCATTGCTTATCAGTGATTGCACTTTTACCCCAAAAGTCCAAACACAGGATGGTGCCTTATCATTTTACATTGCATATTACTAACAATAGTAATAGTTACCACTAGTTAAACTATTTAAACATCTCCAAAACCTAACAGGTGAATTGGAAACATACTAAGAACTTCCAGAATTATAGCATTGTATTATTTTTAGTATTGAACTGAGTATATTTGGTTAAATTCTCTCTTTGTCTATTATAGTTTAGCTTCCTCACTCTCCCTGGACTTTTCTGAAGATTCTGGCTCTGCATGTCCAATACAATAGCTGCTCTCTACCTATGGCCATTTAGATATAAGTTAATTAGAAACAAATAATAAAAAATTTCATTTATCAGTAATACTAGCCACTATTTCAGTGCTCAATACTGTAAACCCTCGATTTTTCAGACCTCAATTTAACGGACTTTGGATTTAATGGATAAAATTTCCGGTCCATATGTCATATGTGAAAATTAATACCCTGTGAATTTTAAAATTCTTTTAACCAAGATTTGCTTATCTATATAATAAAGAGCCAGGGTCGTAATGACCGATGGCTTGACCAGACCGTAAGTCAGTGCTGGGTTGCCATTGCGACCCAGCACTGACCGGGGCTGCTTCAGGCGCCCCGACCCAGCACTGACTGCATAGGGTGCTGCGGATCAGGCCCTGAGAGAGGCCTGCAGAGAGAGAGGCAGGATCTGATCCATAGCCTCTGTGGCAGCCGTTGATCAGAACTTGCCTCTCTTTCTCTCCCAGCCTGGCCAACAGCTGTGCCTCCATTTCTCTCCAGGCCTCCACTGGGGCTGCTGATCAGCCCCGCCTTTCTGATCAGGCCCTGTTGATAGGCCCAGAGACGCTGACTGGCATAGAAACTGACCAATCAGAACCAAATCTGGGTGAAGTGCCAGGAGCCAATGGCTGCCTAGGAGGCAGAGCTTTTGACGCTGACTGGCATAGAAACTGACCAATCAGAACCAAATCTGGGTGATGTGCCAGGAGCCAATGGCTGCCTAGGAGGCAGAGCTTTTGACGCTGACTGGCATAGAAACTGACCAATGAAAACCAAATCTGGGTCAACTGCGAGGAGCCAATGGCTGCCTAGGAGGCAGAGCTTTTGACGCTGACGGGCATAGAAACCGACCAATCAGAACCAAATTGGCTGGCAGAGGAGGGCAGTTGGGGGTGAGATCAGGCCAGCAGGGGAGGGTAGTTAGGGACAAGATCAGACTGGCAGGGGAGGGCAGTTAGGGGCGATCAGGCCGGCAGGGGAGAGCAGTTAGGTGCGAGATCAGGCCGGCAGGGGAGGGCAGTTGGGGGCGAGATCAGGCCAGCAGGGGAGGGCAGTTAGGGCAATCAGGCAGGCAGGCAGGCAGAGGCAGTTAGGGACTATCAGGCAGGCAGGTAGGTGAGTGGTTAGGAGCCAGCAGTCCCAGATTGTGAGAGGGGCATCCAACTGGCGGTCAGACATCCCGTGAGGGATCCCCAATTGGAGTGGGTGCAGGCAGGGCAGAGGGAACCCCCCTCCCTGCACGAATTTTGTGCACTGGGCCTCTAGTAATTAAATAAACAGGTTATCCTTTTTTGTTATTGACTCATAGTTATTTTTCCCAAATTTTCGCAATTAGGCCATATGTTGGGAAAAAACACTTGTAATTTCGCGGACATACGTAAATATTACATATCTACAACTATTACATATTTAAATACAGGAGTCACTGCTCATAAACAGGGTTCATCGAATGATTAGCACATGATCACAAGCATCGCCCACTTGGTAATTGGTTCTGTTGTCACTGGCGTGACTTTCTGCAGCAGTCTTAACATGTTTGGACTGATGTTTAGACATTCGCTAAGCCATCCCCAGCTGTGTGCATTTGTTTACTCGTGGTGACTGGTGAATGCACGCATTTACTAGATTCTGTTCAGTATAAATTTAAAATTAATGTAATATATATAGGAAGCTTTTCTGTGAAATTAAAGTATTCATACATACTTAATTTTAACTACACAAACATGTCTACATAAGTAAAAATAGGTAAACTAATATGTCAATTTTTTAACATATACACTCAGAAAACCTACTTTATTATATAACGGACTTTGGGCTTTAACAAACACTCTCTCACCTGAATTAGTTTGTTGTATTGAGGTTTTACTGTACTCACATGTGGCTAGTGTTCACAGAAAATTCTATTAGACAGCACTACACTAGATCTTTTAAGTGAGATTTCAAGCTACAGCCCAAATAATAGAAAGGTGGGTAGAGTGTCTATATTTTTTCTATTTCCAGAATTCCTAACTTCGTGCTAAGTACTCAGTATATAAGTATATATTGGCTTATTAATATCAGTTATTAAGAATGAAATAGAATTTGTAATTTTTTGTTAAGGAAATTTTGCCTTATCACTAAAATCGCAACCATAGGAATATTTTAATATCTAGAAATAGCACAAATAAATTTAAAAATCAGTCATCTGCATCTAAGAAGTTCAGTATAAAATTAGGGAATATGTTTTTCCTGAATGTAGATTGTTTTTAAAATTCTATGCTAGTGCCGGGCTGGTGTGTCTCAGTGTTTGAGCATTGACCTATTAACCAGGTGGTCACAGTTAGATTCCCATCAGGGCATATACCCAAGTTTCTAGCTCTATCTGCAGTGGAGTGCGTTGGAGGGGCAGCCGATCGATGATTCTCACTCATTGATGTTTCTCTCTCTCCCTCTCCCTTCCTCTCTGAAGTCAATAAAAATATATATTTTTTAATTCTATGCTAGCATTCATGTTTCCCAGATGGTGCCAAAGAGCTAAATTTAGGTACAATATAATCTGAGATTATAAAGAAAAATAGTGCGAAATAATTTTTAAAACTTTAACTCAAAAAAAAAAAAACACTTCCAAATGATGGTTTGATTTGGATCAATAGATTTACTGTTGGAACTGTCATACATTTCATTTTCAGGTTATGGACAACGTGTAAATAGGGCATTGGGTAAGAATCTCCAACCTGAATTTGATCTTAACATGTCTATACATTGGTAGATGAATAATTTAGATACCCCCCCCCCCAATGGTATTGCATTGCTAGGTGCTAAATAATCCTGTTCTGATCATAAACCTATTCTTAAGAGGACTGTCACATTAGGTTTTGGCATTACTCTTCAAAAGAAAAAGATGTCCTGTACACAGGCAATAAATAGGGTAGTTTAGACCTGGGTGGGTGGGTAGAGGCTGAGAGAAGGGGGGGGGAAGAGGGAGGGTGGGAAATAATCTATAATACTATGAACACTAAAAAATATATTTAAAAACAAAATGACATTCTAGTCAAAGCCTTGGTAAAAAAAAGTTTAACAGATTTTTATAAATTTATGCAATTAATCACATTTCCATGAAAATAAAATTTTTTAAAAGGTAAAAGATGTCTTGTTTAATTGTATAAGCCTTTTTTCTTTCTCTTCTTTGTGTGTATAGAGCAAGATTTGAACTTCTCTGTTCTCCACTTTTTAATAAATGTATAGAAGCAATCAGAGCACTCTTACAACAAAGTGGATTTGCAGCAGATGATATCAACAAGGTAATACTTTTATATTTTTCTTATTCATTTTAGGAGTAATTTTAGACTTGGGATTTAGGAAATAGTCCCTTGGCACTGAAAGAATATTTTTATGAATTTAAATATTTTCTCAGCTTGTATTAATGAGTAAGGAAAATCAACTACATTTTGATTGATGACTCTAGCGATATGTATCAGTTTCCTAGCAAAAGAGAATAATTTCTTCCCAGTATATTTTTTAATACGTAAGCAGTGATTGACAGATATTCGAATGTTTGCTCTGTGTCAAGCACTATTTCTAAGTGTTTTACATCCATTAAATTTAAAAAATCAATAAAAATATATTTTAAAAATAAGTAAAATGTATGTAAGTTTTTTATTTTCATTATTAAAATAGTAAGCATTCATATAAGAAAACTCAGAGAAAATGCTAAAAGGCAAGCAGTGTTATATTTTAGAATATTTCTAATTTAATTTGTATGTACAATTCTGAATTTTATTTTCTGCATTTAATATTATACTGATTTTTCTTCATATTTTTGCATAGTCTTAAAATCAATTTTAAATAGATTATTAATATCCTAGGAAAGAAAAGGCACAATAGATGATTTTGTTTTTCTATTGTTGGCACCTAAATTGGGTTTCCCCTTCCTTCAGAACAAGGATGTCCACTTTTGAACCTTGGCTTTTACCATATTTGGATTATTCCTTAGAATAGATTCCCATATAAAATTTTTAGGTCAAAGAGTTCAAATAGCTCAAGACTATTTTCACCTTCATTTACTTTCCAGAAATATTCAATTAATTAACTAACACTCCTATAAACAATACCTAAGAATATACATTAGACCTTGCTAGCTCTGAGTTTTGGCATTTAAAGAAAATTTCCTATTGAATAGTTGAAAAAAAGATATATTTTTACCTGATAGTTTGATTATTAAAGGATTAATTTTATTTAATTTTGCATTTTCTTGTGTGTAAATAAAAATTTCATCTTCTTTGCCTGCTTTATATAATCAGAATATTAACTATCATTTGCTGCAGTCTTCTTTTGAGGCATGTAGTTTACTGTTTAATTTTGGTTCCATTAGGGAGAACGTTATTTGACATATAGGAGTTTCATTTATTTATCTATTTAAATCTATTGGTCTATTACTGTGATTTCTTCAGCTGCTTCTAAGTTTATAAATTCCATCTTTGTTTAGATATATGACAAATATTTAATACTAGTAGCCCTGCACACAAATCTGTGCACCAGTAGGTCGCTGCAGCCCTCCTGTAATTCTCTGCCCGCTACCCCGCCCTCCTGTAGCTTCCCCCTTACTCCTCCCCCTGCCCATAGCTTGCTGCCCTGCCCCCTCCTATAGCTCTCCGCAGCCCGGTTGCACCTTGCTGGCCCACACTCCTACTGATCCGTGATCTGGTTGTGATGCGCTTGGTCGTTACGCCTCAGGGCATAACAGCTAATTAGCATATTCCTCTCATTATGTAGGATTATTTTCTTTTAATTTGTCTATAGTTTGAAAATTTTTCTATTTTAACTATTTTAGTGTATGCTATATGATGAAAGTCATTTTTTAAATTTTCTTTGCAATTCAGTATTTTTTTGAACATTTATAATATGTCAGGTATTGAGCTAGGTTCTTGGAGGTTAGGGGCTGGATTATAAAGAATAAGACCTGAATATATAATAGTAACAAGGTGGTGGTGGGAAATGAATGGGCTTGAAGACAGACCCACCTGAATCAAAGGCTGACAGTGTTAATAGTTCCAGAGTGGGCAAGTCACATATTTTGTGAGTCTTATTTGTCTCTTTTAATTAGGAGGGTGATAACACTTACAGGTAATTATTATAAGTATAATTTATTCTATAGCATTGTTATGAGGACTAAATGAAATATTGTGTGTGGTATGTTATAGGTGATCAATTAATGTAAGTTATCTTCCTTCATTAACTGGTCATAGAGCCCTGACATTTAGCTATCACAAATGATACAATTTTCAATTGCTTGAATAGAAGTCAAATACATTATTAGAAATCAAAATGTTATTAAAGATATACTTTCCAGGTATTTCTAAAATATAGGCCTTTGAGAACTTAAAAATACAGAGTTGTCTCTTTAGAGTAGTGACAGTAGCAAATGAGCCCCAAATCTCAGTGGTTTTCTACATTAAACAGTTTTTCTCACTTATGTTTCCTGTGGGCAGCTGAAGGTGGCTGTAGGTCTCATTCTATGACCCAGGCTAAAAGAGTAGCTAATTGGGACATGTAGTTCCCATGGTGAGGCTTCGAAGAGGAAGAGAGTTTACAGAACATGCAGAGATTTTAGCTCTGGTGTACTTGAATGTAGTCACATTCACTTGTCCAAAGCTAGACAAGAGGGCAGGCTTGACAGTAGGGTTGGGAAACCTACTCCACTCCTGAGGGTTTACAGTGCTGGGGCAATGGCAATGGCAATGGGTCGGGATGTCTAATCCTCTTACAGAGAATGAGAAGGGAATGATTGAACTTGATGTGCATTAAAATATTTTATTCTCACAATAGAACCAAGAGATAAGCGCTATTATCTGCATTTTCAGATGAGGAAACTTAAGAGGTTTCCAAAGAGGTTAACTACTTTGTTTCAAGTCCTAATGCTGGTACGTAAGTGATGGTGCTAAGGTTGAAACAAGGGCAGTGTGCCTCCATAACCCATGTTCTTTCTCTACTTTTACATCCATTGCCTTTCTCATTTTAGTATCTGGAGGTCTAATCTTAGGAGTATTTCGTTTTTCCAGAAGGAATTTCTGATCTCTTGTTTGAAACAACATATCTGGTGTCTGGTCTTCTGAGAGCAGGGAACTTCAGGGTCCTTCCTCTTTAATATGCAGACTTTCCTTTATTCCTCTTGTTTTTAGCACCATGCCCTCTTTGTAACTAAGTCCCATAATTCTGTGGTGCAAACCTCCATCTCTGAGTGGAAGAATGTGCTGGTGGCCACCTGTCTGAGTTAGGGGAAGAGGTCTTGGGGGCTTAATAACTCTATACCAGGCTTTCCTGCTTTCACTTCCATGCTTCACCCTTGCTTTTTATATGATTGGTGCTTCCAAGCCCCCAACCATTCTGGGATTCTATGAGACAAACCACTTTGCTTTCTCTTTGGTTATCTCAAACTTCATCTGCCTTAAAACAATTGCCTCTTTGCTTTCCAGCTTCCAAAATGTGTTAAAATTTTAAACTCACAATCTCTCTTCCATTTATATCTTAAATCCCTTTACTGTCTTATGGAAGGACACATAGATAAATTGATATAATCAATCCCTCTATTTTAACCAAGCTCCCAGGTTCCACAACTGCAATTTTAATAATGCATCTCATTGCATTAATATACCATCTATATATATAAAAGCCTAAGTGCCCATCTGACCATCCAACCAGTAGCTATGACACGCACTATCCATTTAAAAATAAACGGCTCCATGGACCTGGTGCCAACAAACCAACACTCGGCTTCCCCCAAAGTGGGACACAGGCCCTGCCACCACCCCAGAGCAACACCCCACCAAATCTCAGCAAACGCTGTCAAGACCCCATGGCACAAAATGCGGCCCACAGCCCAGCCTGGAAACAGTCGCTGTGGGTGCCGGGTAATGACGTCACGTAGCAATGCCTAACTTCCTCTCCCTAGTAACTAGCCTCCTCGTAGTTTCTTCAGCCCAGGAACATGACTTGATTTACAGCCAGGTGCAAAATTTTACACTTTAACCAAATGTTTGTGAAGCATTTTCCCATGCCTCATCTCATTTGATCCTCACAGAAGTCCTGGAGTAGGTAGATAGGAGACTTGGTAGAATCCTATTTTCTGTTCATTAACCGGAAAACAGAGATTTAGAAAGTTTAGAAACTTGACCCGGCTGAAAAGAAGTAAGAAATGGTAGAACTTGAAACTGACTTCAGGTTTTCTCACTGCACAGAATATAGTTAAACACTGCTGCAGTTAAATATTTTACCCTTTGTTCTCCCTGCATGGTCTACAACAATAATCTGCTTCATGTTGATATTTACTGCTGTGTTGCTGACAGTTACCTGAAAGAGAAGTTGGGGTGCTTCACTGGGCTGGAAAAAGTTTAGCTAAATCAGAAAGCAGGCCTAATTAAACAAGTTTATTCTGTATATATAAAAGGCTAAGTTGACTCGCACATGCACCATACATATAAAGCTCTTGCTGGTGCCAATCACACATGTATGTTTCAATCTGTCATTGTCGATTGTGAATTTGGTTGACACTTCTATTATAGAGAAAGGGCAAATAGCAATGTTAAAATATTTCTTCTAATTAATTTCCTTTCAATGTGCATGAATCCGTGCACCGGGTCACTAGTAATTTATAAAACTAATCCTTAATGTTGGTTATGTAGGTTATTTTAGCTTTATAAACAGCAATCTTTATGGTTTTGTGAACATTCTTGATTTCCTGAGAATTAAATTTGGAATTTAATTCCCAACTTCTAAGACTTAGTATTTATTACCAAATTTGCTCACCAAAAAACAGCCTACTTTCTGAGTTGGGTGTAAACCTTCATTATTAACATTGCAATTTTTAAAAATTCTCTTTATTCATACTTTTTTTCATAGTGCTTTAGAATTATTTTTCATGTTCTAACAAAAAAATATCTAGGAATGAGTAAATCAATCCTGTATAGAGACAAAAGTATTGGGAGTGTTTATAAGGAATACAATGTTGTCAGAAAGATAATATTTGAATCATCATATCTGATGCACTGATGCTGGGTTATTCATACAGATGATGTGGAAAAAAAGTCAGTTTCTTTCCACACAGAAAAATACACTATATCTTAAACAGTGCACCACAATTAAGCAGTCCAGAAGCCATGTGGTACAGCTGATTCACTATACCATTCCATTCTTTTTTGTTTGTTTGTTAATTAAATCTTTATTGTTCAGATTATTACATTTGTTCCTCTTTTTTCCCCCCATAACTCCCCTCCCCCAGTTCCCACCCCACCGTCCTCCTTCACTC